GATACATTTGCTCATTTCAATATCTCGATTTTATGAATGTGTTTGTGCTTACACTCCCTTCTTAATATTTACGTATATATGTATGTATGTACATTTACTTATATACATATACAGATATATGTACATAAAAAAGCCACTTATGCTCTGTACGACCAAGTGCCCGTAGTGGCGGACGTAGCTCTAAATACTTATAAGAACATAATACAGTTATACACAAATAAAAGTATTTACACAAACACATACTTGCATAATTGTATTTGTAGATACATGTACATGTATCTACATATGAACATACATACATACATACATACATACGTATGTACATATGTAATAAGTATGCACATGCCTCCTTGGCCTTAAATGTGAGTGCGTGTGATATGCAAGTTTATATTATATATATATATATATCAAATATTGCATGCACATCTACATTTGAACATACTGTGTATATTCATATAAATGTTCATATATACATACATACATACATATATATTCATACATCTATACTAAATGCTGGCAAACGAATGTGATGCTCGCGCACGAAAATCTTTTGAATTTCCCTCAACTTGGCGCTCATCAGCAATAGCGGCACAGTCATCATCGTCACCACTACCACCACCGCCGCCATCGCCTTCGCCACCAGCACAGTAACAATAGCAGCTGTTGCCGTCACAGTCGGTTGATGTCTGCCGTACTTCACTTCACTCAACTCGGCTCTCGTTCGGGGCCGATCGACACGAACGTTGAGCGTTTTACGAGCGTGCTTACATACAGAATCAAAAATAATCCAAAAAAAAGTGATATTCTGTGTTATTTTTGTTTCCGTTGATTTTGTTGTTGTTGTTATTGTTATTTTTGCTGTTGGCCGCTGATGATTTTGCTTTAGTTGTTTTTATCAATGATGGTGCTGTAGCGTTTTTGTTATAATTACATTGTCTAAAATTAGAGTACGTGTGTCTGGCATATCGCACATCACAACGCCCAGCAAGTAGCCATAAAAACGAAATGAAAACCTCTGGAAAGAAGAGGAAGAAATAGCCGAGTAGCGCAAGAAACCGGGAATATTACCAGAAGATATCTGAACGTTATTTCATTTTAATAAAATTTCACTAAAACATATCTTTAGTTATTAAAAGCTCTTAAGTTGTGGATTATAGTATTATATCCGACTGTGAAATGTTGCACGTGAATTTCGTTTTTCTTAATATAAGTGACTGGTGATGTTAGCAAACGAAGATTTAATAAAAAAATTTTAAATAAAGTTCGTTTTAGAGCAGAAATAGTCTGTAGAAATAACCAAAATAGACAGAAATCCCCATTGAAAGCAATATGAGATTGGGCTCGATATTCAGTGCCCAAACGGCTGAAAACACTCAACATCATAGTCGCCTTCAACACTAATGTTAACACTAACAACAACTATGTACATCGAAATCCTCAATGGTCTGCATATTCCCTTACTTTCCGTTATGTTTCTATTCTGATTATCGTCGCATGCATTAGTCGTAATTGACTACGACGTCGTCAGGCTGAAAATTTTGATGTCGAGGATAAAAAACAAAACTAGCGCCAAGATAGAGCGATGGTGGCGTCAACGCGCGTCTATGCAGTGCATGAATCACAGTTCAAGTACAAAAATACTCACGCACACAAATATATATACATATGTATATACTTTTGTATTTATTGGAGCGTCGACTGATGTCCCCGAAAGAAACTTAAAGCATTATTAATCGAAGCACAGGTGTATTGGTGATAACATAAAGAAGAAAAAACTCTTTAAATGCGTCCCGCCGCGGTAACTATTACGTTTAAGACCCGAAAATGATACTTTTTGCAATCCTATTGGTATATTGCATATTACATATGAGAAGACGTCCCGTCAAATTGCTTTAAAAGTTTCGGATGAAGAATCTTTCAGAAAGATTTTTATTTGTGAATCAAAGCGAACATCGTAGGCGATGAAAAATAGCTGCATTGCATGACTATATTGGAGTCATCCAGTGAGGAGACGTAAGGAGAGATGTCGTGAATCTTAAATCCTTACGCGAATAAGGATGATTTTTCCGTGTACTTTTAACTTAGCATCCTGTATTCAGTGTCATCTTTCACATTTATTCACTCTGTTAGCAGCCTATTTCTGCCTTCTGATTGTAACTGACAAAGTTTTATAAGCTATACATTTTCCTGCGGGGAAATCATTAGCTCTTTTTCATATATATTAAAAGTACAATATTTCGTTGCTACCTTTTCGGCTCATTGTATGTGCTCGGATGCCTACAGAGCCGAGTATGCGGTACTCGTCGGTTGTTATGTTATTATTATCTAGCGGAAAATCGCCGGCTACAACAAGAGCAAAACACTCTGTCAATAATAATCAAGCAACGCCAAAGAAAAGTAGCAACGAAACAACTAAAATAACAAAAAGATATAAAGAAGTCTATAAAGCATTCTGTGCATTATAAAATTCACAGGATTCTGCATTTTTATTTTGCTCACTCAGGGTTACCAGCGAACCAATTTGAACGAAAATAATTATTTCATAACAAAGAATTTATTTCATGTAGTTTTTGGTTATCATTAAAAAATATTTGATTTAGTAACAAAAGTTCTATTTTTTGCAGTTTACACTAAAGGAAAAGTATAATCTTTATATTTACTAAGCTTCGTAAAATATAATGAAACAAAAGATTTTACTGTGGTTTACGATGAACAAAAAAAAAACAATAAAATAACACGAAGTGCAAGGCATCATCGTAAAAATTTCAACTTTTTATCTAAATGCTTATAAATCTCATTCATTGGTCAATTTACTGATTTTCGAATTTTCTAAGAACTATTTTGTGAGCCTTTATATTCATACTCTTATTTTTTTTGTGTAATGAAGGATTATATTGTCTTTAAAGGTTGTTTGATAACCAAATTTAGGAACATTTAGTTTTATAAACACATTGTCGGAGTAGCCAAACAGTATATAAATGGATGTACTCTATAACTGTCTGAGCGATTTTTGGCCTAGCTCCTCTTTCAATTTGTGATCCTGCGTCTTGAGATTTTCCCAATAAATTAGCGAATCTAGAGCTTTACGGCACTTCCTATGGGCTCGAGTTCGAAGCCATGAAATTACGCCCGCTATCACGCGCTCATAACCGCTCGGCTAAGTATTAACAACAATTAATTAAAACTACTTTCACTTAAATAAAAATTTTCTATCAAATTTGGTAACCCGTCCCGTCTACCGTTCTTATTATATACATTTGGCACATTCTATTGATATAACTAGTGGGTGGGTACTTATTAAGGCAAGTGAGTGTGCGAGTTGTTAGAAGTGATGAATTTATTTATTTTCAGAAGAACCTTACACCTGTCATCAATGTATTTTTATTTAGCATCAGTTTAGTCATTTCAAAAACTTGTAGCATCGTCATATAGTAAATGTATATATGTACACATCCTCAATAAATAGAAAAAATCCAAATTGGTTTAAGAAATACTCAAAAGAAGAGAGTAATTTTTTAGTTGCAATAAACTTTTTTAAAACTTTTTAAAAACAAACAAAAACCAGTGTTGAATAAAAACTGATCCATAATTCATAAGGCCATGGACAAATAAAAACAAAAATATCACGTTTTAGTTGAAGTTGTGGAATCAGCGAAAATATCATAAAAGTACATTTACCATTATAAGATTCTATGATGGAAAAGTTTTTTGTTTTTCCTTACTTGGGGTTGATTCCAAATTGATTTTTAGGATTTGACGCATTTGAACATTTTTTGTTTACTGGCTGTGTTAAAGTTGAGGTCCAATGCACTAATGTGCTACATTACGTATACGTAACGTCGTTGATTAATGCCACCATCAGTGCTCGCTTCCATTTAATGATTAGAGGGCGTACATATACATTTATCTGCAGTTACGAAAATATTACATTAGATGAAGAAAAATATTATAAGGATAAATAAAATAATTTGATGCCAGGGATACTCTCAGCGGTATTCACGGAACCTGCTCTCACCATAAGTTTTGACATGAATTTACGAGTTGACTTTAATATATATATAATATATGAAATTTCTTCTTTGCTGAGCTCTTAAAAATAAAAGGCTTTGCAATTTTAGCTTTTTCAGAAAACTGCTTTCTGGTTTTAGATTGGGCTAGATCTCTAAAAAAGGAAAGACAACCCTGATGCATACATTCAATTGAATTGTTTCATTTTCTTCGTTGACGAAAAAGTTATTTTGCTTTATTGTGAAATTCAATTAAAATTCTGACCATTTTTGACTTGCAATTATTCAATGTGTTTCTACTCTTTAACAAAGGCAAAAAGAAGAACCATTTCCACCCTCCTCCTGATCCCCGATTTTAGGTGAGTAATGGCTAATACTACTAATACTTCCGACAAAGGCTGCATCGTAGCGATAAACTTCATTTTTTATCGTTAAAGCATTTAACAGATTAAATACCTTTGAATCAGGTCATACTTAAATGTTTGTTTCACATGTCTATCCGTTTTATGTTTTCAGTTTCCAAAAGTGTTCCCTCGAAACTGATTCTTTTTGATTTTTCAATGTTGTGTCCAAAAAAAAGTGAAGTGAAAAAATATGACAAAAATAAAATTTTAAAATTAAGAGGCTAAGTGCGCTCGATTGATCAACCTCAACAAATAAACAACTAACCAAATGAATCAGGGCTAATGACTAATGTGACGAGTGTCATATACAGATTTGCTTGAAAACATGAATGCAAAGAAATTATAATAAAAGTACAATATATTTTAATAGTAAAAAATTATGGTGGAATTAAATTTAAAAAAGTAAAATAAAATAAAATGAAAAAGTTTCATTGAAAATACCTTCTTATTTTCAGAACATCAAAAAAAAAAAGTGGAGCACAAATTAATTTGTTGTAATAATAATAAATCTTTAGTGTTTCTATTTTAAGCAACTTGGTTTGAAATAAAAAAATTTTTAAAATAATAAAACCTCCTTGTGTAATGCTAGAGATAGGTCGAGTTACTGGATTAGAGCGGTGTTTAAGTTTAATCTCCTTTACGTAATGGATTAATTTAATTGAAGAGAATATTTTTAATATTTTAAAACACATCGAGAGCACGGAAACAAGTGACAATGTGGCTTGAGCACGATTCATTACCACAGCATTTTATGCGAAATCAACAACAACACGGACACACGGCCAAAACTAAAAACAGTTTAGTTGACACTGGGAAACTTAAAAGCAGTTAAACCTGAAATCTAAATTTCTTGCGATCCACACTGACTTTTTAAAGTAAAATTAATAATTTATTCAAACACACAACAATCATTGAAAATTCGTTGATTCTTACATGAAAAGGCTGAGCGCTCGTGCTTAGACATAGAAACATCTAGTAACCCAAATTGGTTTTACCAAATATCCAAGCTCCAGTATTCTGTGCGTCGTTGTAGAGTTGGAAAGAACTCTCCCACTGGCGGACGCCATGCATGCGCGAGTATTGCGCAAATGGAGTCTACACACGAAACCGCTAATGTACATTACTATGTGGCGGCTGCTGCTGTTCACAATACTTCTGCTCCGTTTATGCGTTTCGCCGGCGACATGCATCAGCAACACCGTCAATCGGAGCACAGCATTTGCGTCTGCGACTGTCCCTGTGATTTCATCCGCGTCTGCAGCTGTCCATGCCTCAGCGCCAGCAGCAGCATTAACCATGACAGCAATGAAGCACACAATCGCAACACCAGCTTCAACAACACAGCAGTCCTCATCACAGCAACTCAGCCTTGCGCCAGCAACTCCAGAAACAACAACTGCTGGCGAGGACATAGAAGAAAGCTTTTATATACCCGTCGATGGCGGCGACGGAGACAAGAACATTTATGACAGTCGCTTGGTGCAAGCTCTGCACGTTAATAAAGCTTCGAGCGGTATCAATGTTTCGGATTTGGGGCATAATATTTCCAATCTGAGGGACATTGCAAATAGTTGGCGTAGTAGCAATAGTTATGGCAGCAACGCTGGCAGTAGAATATTTAACAGTAGTGTAGTGAGCAGTAGTAGTAGCAGAGGTGCAGGTGAACGACAGCAGCTAAACCAACAAGAGTCAAAGGCAGCGTCTACTCTATATGCTGATAACAAGGCATATGCGTATTATAGAAGTGCTGCGAAACAGGCAACAGTCGATTCGCGACAACTATTATCGAAACCACATGCAGAATCAAGAGCTACGCTGACACCTGCAATAGCAGCAGCTGTACTTCATCCTCACTTCAGCGTTCATGGTATTGTTAACGATGATAATATTGCAAACGATGATGATACTGAATTAATTGATGAAGACGATGGAGATGATGACGCGGAAGAAGAAGCCGAGGGCTACGGACTAACGGGCGACGTTGGTGAGCACGCAATATATGAAGATGATGTCAGTGACCGGCAGCAACACAAACAACACCAACAACACAAAGTTCCAAATAATATGAATAGTCACATAATTAATTTATTAAATACATATAAACGTAATAACCACAACAACAACTGCACTAGCAATCAAATCAACCCAAATCTGCAAACACAATTACAACAGCAATATCACTTGGAAAATACTCATGCCGTAACAGCAAGTGCTCAACGAGAAGAAACCACTGCCAGCAGCGTCGCTTTGAAAGAGCATAACTCGGGCAGACGGACTTTCAAAACACGCCGTCATGTGAGCACTGAGGAGCGACGGCGCTGGCTTACACGACAACAGCACCAGCAAGAGCGGCACCGTTTCAGCAATAGCATCCAAAGTTCGCCTACAAGTATCCCGCTACCCATCGCCGCCTATCCCACCAAAAAGGTATTCCAACTGGTTAACGGCAAAAATTTAACGCGCATCGTACACCTGTTTCCGCCCACAAGGTATCATATTGCAGCTTACGAGATACCCTCATCACTGCCATACCGCGGTGAGTTAACGGAGCAGCAACGGCGTATGTTGCAGCATCAACACGAACAGCAATTGCAGCAAGATCAAGCAGCGCGGTCACGTCGTGACTCACGCATATTTGGTTTGGCCCAGTCTCTGAACGGCGGCGCCGGATCTGCTTTCCATGGCCTAGAACAATCCCCACAGTCAGTAATAGGGCAAGGATTAGCTGAGCAACAACAATTCCAACGTCTCGAACGATCTAAAAGTGCCGGCGGTAGTAACTGGCAACAAATGAGCGATGACATGTTTCAACGCCAATCTTATTCTACCCAACAGCAGCGCCAGCAATATCAAAAGTATCACCAACATTATCACAAGCAATATCAAAATAATAACGAGCAACCCGACGTTGGCGGTCACCGCAATACACACAGTCATATTCACCCAAATAATAAGCATAATCATCGTCAGCGTCAGCGTAAACGACCGCGCCGCTATTGTTCGGCGCGTGATCCCGCTCAGCTAGCATTCGAGGCGCCCATAGTATTCGAGGGCAAAATCACGTCTATGTCACCCGATCGACGGCATAACTTCGCTGCCACAGTACAAGTGTTGAACGCTTACAAGCAACAAATTGGCTTTCAGGTTAAACGTGAGCAATTCGTACGCCTGCAGTTCGCCTACATTAACAGCAGTGGCGAGTGCGATATCTACCGGGAACAGTTGCGTCCACGCGGTCTTGTACGCGACGATGAGCTTGATCTGCAGCGTACTTACATTTTTTTTGTACAACAGATCGATTTGCGCAATTTCACCATTCTCGGCCAGCCGATAAGGAAGACGCGACGAGTAGTGGAAGCAGTGAAGGACGCAGTGAGCGAAAATTATGGTGAGTTGAATGATTAATTTTTATCTTTGTATATCAAATATGAACATTGTCACCGCATTGGCTTTTTAACAGCTTAATATTTATATATATATTAAACAGATATCCCACCAAAATAGCTTAGAAATCAAACTTAATGAGAATGTACTGAATAAAATGAAAGGAGACTTTTATTTGAATATTTGTATGCTTATTTGCAACCGGACGAATTATGTTTTTCGAACTCCGTATATTCCAAATTAAAGTTTTCGAGTTCAATTTTATATACATAAATATGTATGTACAAAAGGCTATATGTTTTCGGTAAATAGAAAATTTTCTTAAAATTCTGACCTTTTTTTATTTGTTTTAGCAATTCAAGAAAAATTTCAATGTTTGTTTTTTCAGAGAATATTGTTTTTGGCGTTGTAAAAAGCACCTGCAAAATGCCCTGGGTTACTTTGTCAAAATTCAGATGTGCCGATAAATCCCAAGCTCTACTAGTTTGGTTTTCGCTTCTTCATTTCCTCGTAGTGATCTTCCTCTCTTGATTTTGTCATTATTACTGTTGTTGTTTCTTTATCAATTTTTTGTTGTCAACTTCACGCTCTGCTAATATCCACTAGACCGAAATAATTTATTCAACACACCCGTAAATGTACATACACATGCACACAATTAAACCACACACATACAAACACAAAAACATCGGTTAATGGGAATGGTGGAAAACTGCATTTGAATATGTACATATGTAGGTAAGTGTGGGTGTGTACTACAAATAAAATATAGTAATTCTTATACAAACGCGTATTCTTTTTATGCAATAGTATAAAATATTAGTTGCTTATGTTTTCTCGTATTAGTGCATACGGGAGGCATGAAAGGCGATTTCTTTCGACTGAGTACGTTCAACGGCGGAAGCCGACAAAACTTTGCTACTTCCATTAAAACTGACAGCAACTACACGAACAACAACGACAGTTGAGAATCTCAAGTCAAAACCTTATAGCAGCAGCGGTAGCAACAGCAAAGGCAACGAAACAATCAACATAAAAATAATTAGATTTTATTCTCTTTTGCAACTCATTGCCGCAGTTTGTGGCCACTGCAAACGTCATCACCACCACCACAATGTATCGCCATCATTTCAACCACTATTTCAAGACAATGGCAACACTGTTGCATCTACGCCTCTGCGATATTTTATTTTAGCGATTTTTGTTTTTTTTTTTTTTTCAATAAAAATTTGCACACATTTTGTTGAAGAGCGTAACATCAGTCCTCACTGCGTCGCACTAAAACGTCTTCATATGACCACTTTGCTTGTACAATAGCCTAGCGGCGTTGACTGCTTAGAGTTGCCTTTGCCCGCTCTTCTCAGCATATGATTTCTGCTCCTGAATGCAGTAAGCGGACCTGCATAACGAAGAGTAGTAAATCGAAAACACTAGAGAGAGGAGTTTAATCGAGTTGCCCCTGGTAAATGAGACGCTGGCAGCGCACGCTTCTATGCCGCATTGAATGCAGCTGACCGCGGCGTTAGCGTTGTAAGCGCTACGGTTCAGCGCGCACGATCTCACATTCCCTCGCTGATTCCATACGTTTTGCGTATTTGCTTAGCGCTTTTCTGTTTTAATCTCGTTCACTTTGCGTCTTTTGTTTTATAACCAGCGCAATGGTTTATTTGTTTTTGCTTTTATTATATACATATATGTACATATTTATATATGCCATACATATTTGTTTTTTCATTTTATATTACTTGCTCCATTTTTTTTTATATATTGTTTTATCTATTTTTTGCTACTGCTTTTCGCCGCTGTGCGTCGTCAGTTTAGAAGTGCGTTCCTTAGTTTTGTTTTTGCATTTCCACAATCGATGGTACAGCGCTCTTAATTTCATTCATCAACAATATTCAGTAATAATAGCAACAGAAGCAAAACAGTAGTCCCGCATACTGTCTTTCATACTTATACGAGGTGTGATCAGAAAATATCCGTCATTTTCAAATTTCTTGAGTTCCGTCGTTTCGATTTACGTTTATTTTTTGTTATGTTGTTACACATGTCTGTTATACATATATGTATGTTGGCAATGAAAAGGCTAGTCGTGTTTTGGTTTGTTATTCGAATAAATGAATGTGTAAAAAATGAAATTAAATGTGCAAGGACATTTGAAATGTTGACTGTGGCATTTGGCGAGTCTACTGTGAGCAGAACACAAGTTCAATTGTGGTATAACCGGGTTAAGGAAGGCCGAGAAGATGTCAATGCTAATGCTTGTCCTGGTCGTCCGAGCACGTCAAGCTCGGTCACATATGCAGATTTTTTTCACTGTTTTCTTCGACTGGAATGACGTGGTGCATTATGAATCCTTGCTACAAGGTCGTACGGTCAATAAGGAATACCGCCTAGAAGTTATGCGCTTGTGAGTGAGTTTTTGGCCAAAAACAATACCGTTATCATGCCTCAGCCGCCGTATTCACCGGACTTGGTCCTCGCTGACTTTTTTCTCTTCCCAAAACTGAAGGCACCGACGAAAGGAAAGCATTTTGCTACGATTGAGGAGATAAAAGAAAATAGAAACAGGAACTATTGGTGATACCAAAAAACGCATTTCAGGAGTGTTTCGAGGATTGGAAAAAACACTGGCATAAGTGTATTATATCTAAGGGAGATTACTTTGGAGGGAATAAGTCAGTTAGTGATGAATAAATAAATACTTTTTGGATATATCTACAATTTAGTTCTGTATTCACATTAATACATTCATACCGTTGACTTGAAATTAAACCAGCAGCGAATGTTACACATAAGACACTTAAGCGGTGTCTCGTACGGAAATATCACCTTATGTTATGAATCGGTTTATGTGAAAGTTATTAATTTATGACATTTTCATAAGAATGGCATTGTCATGCACTGATCATTCATGGCATTCACAGCGCAATTACAGTACTTACTAAAAGCATTAACTGTTATAAACCTTCGATGCGAGTACACTCATAATCTGAGTGTAAATCGGTGATATTGCTAGCTATATGTTAGGGTTACAATTTAACTCGGTTCGTTCTAAAGTTGTCTCCACCTGCGAATACCTATTTTATGAGAAAGGTTTCACATCTGTCAAAAATAATTAGTGTGCATCAGCGCCTGTTTACGACAACAGCGTTGATTTTTGCCTCTTCGAAAATATTCGTTTTTGCGTTAAATCCCCTGCTCGAATGGTAGCCCTAACTGATAACCACTCGGATATTGCGCTTAAGGTTCATACAAATGACAAATATTCAGCTGCTCACAGTGCTCGGTACCCGGGTATCTGGAGCTCTAATATTATATATACTGCCTACCCTAAATAAGCAAAATTTCTTATAAAGTCAATAATATTTTTGTTTTGTATTTTCAATAGCAACGGAGACAACGAAATTCAATCCTTTCTAATAAACTGAAGACTTTCGTATATGGGATACAGATTGACGGGTTCGTACACATGTAAGGCATATTAAAATTGCCATATGTAATATGTACACTAGGGTGTCCCTTATTTACAACGCGTATATATATTATACCTTTTGTAAGAGCGAATTGATCGAAAAATATTTGGAGGTTTACTTGTTCACGAGAAAAATAAATAAGTGTGAAATGTTAAAAATCCCTTCTTATTTATATGGCAAAAATGTAATAAGTTACATTTGGTCTTAAATTTTCTTTTAAGCTATAAGCTATTAATTACGGGGCGCGAAATGGAAAATATTTAGTTTTGCAAATAACCGACACCTTAATATAATGTACATATGCACGGTAATACAGACATATACATACATATATGTAAGTAGTTCTATGAAAGTATCTTGGGGCGTTATAACCACACCCACGCCGACGTCAACTCTGCGGCGTTCACACTTCCAGAATTTTTGATCGAATTGGCGTCGGAATTCACTGGCGATCTTATCTGTCGGAGTGTAGTGTTGCACCACCTCCCCGTTGTTATCATATTTGCTTTTACAGCGATATTATTTTTAGGAAAAAAACTGCTCTAGTTTCTACTATTTCGTTTGAATTTTTGTTATATGTAAAAATTATATTACAAGTTTTGAAAGCACTTACCACTTACATTCCCAAATGTTCAATACAAAGGTGTTGGGTCAGAACATTGTACCCACAAGGACGTTATTAATACTTTTTACACCTATTCCAATATATTTTTTAATGAAGTACTCGCATTAAAGTATGGATATTTTTCCAATTATGTTTAGATTTTCATTGAGCTGAATTTTGTACAATATGTGGGGGCTGCAAACCTTACACACAACCGTAGGTGGTACGACTTATCTTTGATCACACGTAATTATTGACAGCTGTAGTTTTATTTTGTGAATGATGAGTAATTAGAAATTGGTATTAAGTTTTTTTACACATTCTTAAAGGTGCTTTGTCAATTATAGACATAATGGTAAAATTTAAAATGCAGGGCTCGTAAAAAAGTTAAAACTTCAACATATGTTTGACATTCCTAAATTCACATGAAAAACACATCAGGTTGTCGTATTGTATATAATAGGTTTTCAAAAGATAATTTTTTTATATCAGTAGGCGCTTATCAGAAATTTGTTTCTAATTAATCACTTCTTCAAAACGTTCAAACTGTAATCGCCTACTTAAATATTACAATCTTTCAAACCAAAATTTATTACAAGTAATCATGGATATGTTACTACAAGGTATCTCGATTAAATTGCATAGTTTTCGATGTGTTGTATAATGTGCAATTTCGCTATATACCTCGGTGGTAACGCATTAAGAGGCTTACTACTATAATTCCAACAACTAAAAATTATGTTAATCACCTTCAAATAAAAATCACCTACTACAACTAAATCAAACATATACCTACCCAATTCATTCAGTGAACCTTGTATTATGATTTTTACCTTCATAGGTTTTTATATGACTGATTGCTTTGGCTTTCTAATATTTTCATAAATAATATAAATAATAGAAATAATTCAAATGCATTCCATG